TCCGACCCACATACCTCTGTTTCACAGAGGATTTCAACTCTGCTCTTGTCTGCCATGATGAAAATGTAAAAATGTAAAAGGAAATAGAGCTGCTGAGGTCAGGCTAGATTAGCTGCTTCCAGAGTCTCCAATGGATGACTGTGCTTAACTGTTTAAAAAAGCCTCTTTAAAAAAGTGCCCTCTACAGGAGGAGGCGAGAGAACCACATGCCTCATCTACATAAGGATTTTTTCGGCTTTTAACCCTTGCTTAACTCTGCTTGAGTGATCATAAAGATAGACTAAATGAGCCCCGCAGCTGGGTCGGACATAGCTGCGGGGCACGGGATGCCTCTATTTCGGACATAGCTGTGGAGCGGGCAAAAGCCACTTTCTTTCTTTTTGCCTCACCAGCCATAAACTTCACCACATGTCACTGTTGGAGGGCTATAGGTTATTCACGGAAGATACTGAATTTGGAAAGACTGAGGCAAACATCTAAGATAATAAAGCGCTCTGTGTTCAGAAGTTTGTTTTCAACAAGGAAAGATAGAAATACTGTTTGTGTTAGAAGTGAGGTGTTTTATTACACTAGTTTTAAGAACATAAAAGCTTTCTTGGATCACACCCAGGGCTTGTCTAGCTCAGTGTTGTCATATAGATGTTTATCAGATGTCATCCAAGATGTCACAAGTAGCAGTTGTAAAAGCATTAATCCTCTTCCTCTTTTTCTCCCTGCAGTTAGTAATTCAAGTTTGTTATTGTTCAGGAGGTAGTGAACAGCTTTCAAAACTAGTACCCATTGATATACACTCTTCTACAAGTTTGCACAATACAGCTTTAAACAGTGGATCTAAATGGATGCCCGTGTCTATTGCTCCTATGTTCATAAAATTATGTGTTGGTTAAAAAGTACCCTATTGTCAGTCTTAAATCTCCAAAATTCAAATAAAAAATGTATTTTAGTAGAAACAGTAAAGTGTATGAATTAGATATTAAAATTAGCTTCTATTAAAATATCTTCCATAGATGATATGGATTTTATTAGATGAAATCTATTTATTACATCTTGCTTAAACTATTGCTTGCCATAAAATGTCACTTACTAAAGATAATTATCTTGAGTGACTTTTTTTCCTTTCTTTTTGTAGTTAATGTTACGTGAAATGAAGCCACTTCCTGTGGATTCTAGAATATTGTCTCTGACTGCTCAGATTACTGAAAGTCCTGATCAGGATATTCCTGTATTGCTGCTAAAGTTAAAAGGTAAATTGAGATCTTAGGTGTAGCACCATAAGGTAAAACTAAAGCCTACTCTTGTGCTGAGCCTGCTATGCTATGTTTCAACAAGTTCAGTAGTCTATTACTATAGAGATCTTTCCATTAGGGTTATTGGAAAGGACATTTGTACATAAAGAATAGAGATTCTAGTATTAAAGAGAAGAAAGACTTGATCATTATGAATTACGAGGTTCTTTTGAATCTTAATACAATTGTTGTAAAGAGTGAATGTACTATTGGATGTGTTCAAGTTCTTACTTGTAAAATATCTTTAAATAAGTTATGTTTGTATAAAGACATATGAATACATAAACCTCCAATTTTCTTCTTCCCACCCCATTGTTCTAAATTAATCTGATTTTAATATGTGTTTTTAATTTACATGATCAATCTTTGTTTTGTGTAATAGTTGTGCAGGAAATGAGATGTTGGAAGGCAAATAAGGAAAAAGGGGGAAATAATGCTTGAGGCATTAAGATTGGAAACCAAGGGGAAGAAACTGAAGTTATCCATATATTTCTAAATTGATAGAATGGGCTCAGTTTATGCTTCATATGACATCTTGACCAGAGGTAGTATTCAGCTGGTTCGGACCAGTTTACCTGAACCGGTAGCGGAAATCGCGGGTGGAACCACCCACCCGCCCCGACTCTATGCTGTCTTATTAGGCACATGTTTGAGGCTGAATGCATGTGCAGCAAAGCATATATGTGGAAAGCACATGCATAAAGAGGGCATGCGTGCGCGGGGAGAACCAGTGGTAGCAAAATCTGCAACCCACTGCTCATCTTGATCTATTAATTAATCATGGGATGAGAATTAGAATGTGTTTCTGTATCTTCAAATCTAACAAAGAATTGTATGATATGAATTATGTAAAAAGAGAACCAATTATGAAGGACACACAATACAAATTATATGGAGAGCCAGGAGTTAGTGAAAAGTTAGGAATTTGGTAGCATGTTTTCACACAATTTTTATAAAAAGTCGTAAACTTGATCAAACCCATGCATCTGATAAGGCAAGCTATAGCTCATGAAAGCTAATATCTTTTTCTCAGAAAAAGTATACCAGGCTTATAATAACTAATATTGATCTGTTAGTAAATCAGATGCATGTTGGCTCAATACACTGAGCCATAATAAAATGGTCAGCATATTTTAAGTGTGGCTCTGCTATGCAAACTCACTATAAATTGTGAATGTATAGTTCAGAGTATCAAACAAGCCTTGAAAATCAGGTTTGGTAAATTATGGTTATTTTAATTATGGTAAGCATATTATGCAAATATGCTGAACAAAATGAGACAGAGAATAAACCACAGTTTCATTTCAGTTGGAGAAACTATCAGTTGCTAGAGGGCTGCTTTCCAGTAAAGGAAGTTACAGCCAAAGTTGGTTCATTTCAGCTGTGCAGAATAAGGAAGTCTTACTTTCTGATTACCAGAATTCCAACTCAAAATTAGTCTCATATTACTGTATCATGGACACTGTGACATACCATATGTTCAAAGCATTTTCTCATTGACTAAACAATATTTATTTACATTTCTACTGCTGCTTGATTCACCAGTTTGATTTTTGTCTGCCTTCATTTTCTCTTTAAAATAACTTTTAATAATATATTTCTCTCAAAAATAAAAATAACCTTTTTGATGTGAATTACATAGCTTGCTTTTTATATTTTATCTAACAACCGGTTGGTTGACTGTACTTTAGTAACTGACTAGACAATCCATGACCTGTTAGATCTTTGTTTCAGAGATATTTCTTGACCAGATTTCTTAATATCTTCAACAATTGCAATTGCAAAGTTTCTAATATTCTTTTTAAAATTCAGAGAGATATTCAGAGATGTACCTGACTGAGATCCGGACCCTCCCCACTCTCTCGGCCTTCCGAAAGTCTACTAAGACCTGGCTGTTCCGGCAGGCCTGGGGCTGTTGATCCTCAATTGAGTTCCAGCCCCACTAAGAACTGAGTATATGTTGTGTTCTTTTAACCTCTTTGTTTTTGTATTTTAAATTTTCTAGTATTTTTAACTGTTTTTATGTGAGCCGCCCAGAGTCCTTCGGGATTGAGCGGCATACAAATCCATTCAAATTCAAATTCCTTGAAAATAGCCCTTTGAACTTATATAGCACAGTCAAACAGCAGTTGACCACTGGAAAAATGTTTTATGACATTTTGTGTGATGTTGTAACCTGCTTTATGATATTGTTCGTGTCATAAAATATTTTATAACATTTGTCAAATTTCAATTCCATGGGCGTTATAGGCCCCAGATTTTGTGTGCATTCTGTTAGTTATCCCATTTGGGTTTTCCCTATGGTGCATCTTTTCATCCAGTTACAGAAATCAGAGTTTTAGTAATATATAGATAGATGCTCCAATTTATTACCTGATATTGTGTTTTTGCTATGCTCCCTTCTGACCTGTCTTGCAGCCCTTGTATTTGTTATTTGTAGAGGGCTCCAAACCTAAGCAGTTCAATTTTTTTTCTTAGAAATTTTAACAAGTGCATCCCCAGGAAGTAATGAAACAAAGAAAATTAAACAAGATTTATACTACTGTGATCTAGTCCAGTACTGTCTACTAGTCCTTAAGCAAGATTATACAAAAGTGACTGGAGGATGGACTACTGCTGCCCAGATAGCAGAGATATTAAGGTAAAAATACTGCAGAGTTACACCGCTGTATTCCTGCTCTAGTAACTCTGAATTAGCCTATGGCTATACTATTTGCAAATTACAGAAGGGATTTTTTTTCCTTTTTCTTCTCAGTCAATGTTGTGTAGGTCTTGAGGTGAAAACAGAACGTGAAGAGTTTTACAGTAAACAGCTTCCTTCTGCAATAGACAGCCTCCTCTTTTTGGGAAGGCGTTTGCAAGCACAATTTGTTCGGGCAATCAAGGTATTTGAGCCATTTTGTAATATCTTGACATAATAATACAGGCAGTCCTTGACTGACAATAGCTCATCAAAGTTACACTGAAAAAAGTGACATGAAGATTTTTCACCATTGCAGAACTCCCATGTTCATGTGATCAAAATTTGGATGCTTGGCAACTACTCATATTTATGACTGTTGCAGTGTCCTAGAGTCATATGATCACCTTTTGCAAACTTCTGACAAGCAAAGTCAATGGGAAAATCAGATTCACAACAACTGTATTACAGTAATACACTTAACTGTGGCAATAAAGGCCGTAAAATGGAGAAAAAATCACTTAACAAATGTCTCCCTTAGCAACAGAAATTTTGGGCTCAATGGTGGTCGTAAGTCAAGGAATACCTGCATAGAAAAATGTTGATATGGGTAGAAAGAGGGTTCCCACCTCTTCTAATACCTAGCCTAAGTGATGCTTACTAAGATATAATTTCTATGCTGTCAAGGTTCAAGACAGTTACCAAAGCAGTGTATTGTCTCTTTTTGATAATGTATGATAATACTCTGCTTGACAATATGGACAAGGAATGTCAGGGCTGCTTCACTTAATAACCAAGAAAGAAACCACTCAACTCCATTTTGCAGAATTAAGAGTACTTTTACTGGTTATAAGTAAATAGAAGAGTAAGTAAAGCTGAATCTGAGACAAAAGCGCACGCAAGCATAGATATCAATGCATGACCCATACCCCTCCCCTTGGTAACCCCAACTCATAGTCCAATCCAATCATTCCACAGGTGTCATGTGGGAGACATCTTCGAAAATCATCATCAGGTTGGTATGCCGAACAGTTGGCCTTGGCAGGAACTCCTCTCCCTGCCACATGCGCAGTAGATGGCGAGAACAACTCCCTTTTCACAGCCCTCCTGTACAGAATAATTCCCACACCCAAATGCCATGCCCCCCCCTCCCCATTTC